TTTATGGTTCTTTCTTTTTTCTTTTTTTCTTTAAAGTATGAGGGGTGTTTGTATATGAGATGATTTTATATGGCTTAAAAGGGCGTTTTAAGCCTTTCATTGTACAATTGCCAAAGAAAGCGTTTGGAATGCGGGACTCGGTAAGTGTACAGTCAAGAGAGTTGAGGGTTGTAAGTTTGTTTTCGTCAAGAGTTTGGAGGTTTTTTTACTATGGTGTAGTTGGTTTGAGTCATGAAGGCGCAGTTCGGTTTTGCGCCGTTCACAAGACAATGTTTGGTTTTGAAGTTAATATCATTGTGGTTTTTGGATTCATGTTTTACATAGTTACATCTCTGGTGATTGTTTCATTATTTGCAAGTATCAATTTTTGGAAGGATTGATGGCATATTTCCATGTTGTTAAGATTATATAATGTAAGAAAAATGTATTGACACAAAAACATCTGGGAATTCAAAGTTATAAAATCTTTCCTAATGTAAGTATTATTTTGTTAGGAAATATATACATTTGTTAGAAAGTTATAATTGTCTAAACATTAAACATTGAACCCAATTTTTTTAATATTCAATCCACTTTAACCCCACTAATTGACTATCTCAATGTAACTGCAAAAGGTTTTAATACATGTTTGCCTCTTATAATAATCTAATAAACTAAACAAGACTACATTGATGTAAATAAGAAATTATTCATCAACCCTCATAGCCATTTTTTCTGAATTTTTACTTTCCACACAACAAAATCTCATAAATTTATCCCAACCTATCATATTAACAAGATTTCTACCATGGGAAGATAATAGTGACAGTGTATACTCATGTAGTCATGTGACACATTGTGAGATATAGAATCTGGAGTGGACAAGTCACAAATCACAAGTGATGATTTTTATGATTTGCCCTTTGCTCTCTCTCACCTCACTTTGATAATTATACATTATACTCTTCCCTGAATTCTCTCCGACGCTTTCTCACCGCTGTCACCTCTCCCCATCTGCATAGATACATATATATAGCTCTCTCTTGATTATAATCGCATATACATGCATCATCGTTTCTAAAGGCCAAGAAAAAGGGATATCATATGCATAAATAGGTCACAGCTTTTTTTTTTTTTTANTTTTTTTTTTTTTTAGGTTCTCTTTTTTCCTTTTGCCCATCTGTGTGTATTCATGGATTTGTGCGGATGTAATAAAATTTGTCGAATGTCATAAAAGACAATAGATTTAATTCTAAGACTGAAGATTTGGAGGTTTGCCTGGAGCCCTTCAAGGCTAGCTAACGAAATCAACACTCTTGCCCCGTAATTTGACCTTACTCACTCTCTCATATCTGAAACCCAGATTATTGAGCATTTAGTGTATCTTGATTTGCCGTTAAAATTAGGGAGCTCGCATAAGCAAATTGTCTCACCATTTGAAGGATTAGGGCTTTGCGAGGTTGTGGGGGAATTCCCTGTAGGCTTATTATTGGAAGTTCCGTTCGTTTGTAGGATTTGGTTTTTTGGAGCTACCGATGTTGTCCGAACTTCGGTTTTCTGTTTGTTCATCAATGGCCTTGAGATAAACCTAGTCATTTTGTTTCAGCTGGGATTGTGGTGGGTTTTGGTTTCAGAAAATTGCTGGGCTTCATTCTTGCAGTCGTGGGTCAACTGGGATCGGTATTTCGAACAGTGTGTACGCATTTGTTGTCCTCATGTCAGGATAGTTGAAGAGAGAAACTGTAAAGTCATATCTAAAAGGAATTAGCTTTTGGTTCCAGCACTGAGTGTATTAAGCTTCTTCATTTCTGACAGTAGAATTCCCATTTGTCGGGCGATTTTAGTTTACGAACCCATCCATTCATGAGCAGGAGAGTGAGGAGGAAGTATGCCAAGAAGGGTAGAGACAGAGAAAGCTACCCTGAGATTGGTTCGGAAAATGGCAGCTTGCTCGACTGGACTAGGTTGCCCGATGACACAGTAATTCAACTCTTTTCATGTCTGAACTATCGGGACCGTGCCAGCCTGTCGTCCACCTGTCGCACATGGCAGGCCTTGAGTAAATCTCCGTGCTTGTGGCGGGCCCTCGATCTCCGGGCCCATAAATTTGACTCCTCGGCCGGCACTTCCCTCGCCTCCCGATGCCAAAGCCTCAATGAAATCCGATTTCGTGGGCCCGAATCAGCCGAAGCCATCATCAATCTTCGGGCCCGAAACTTGCAGGAGATCATAGGTGACAGCTGTCGGAGAATGACTGATGCAATTCTGTCCATGCTGGCGGCCCGGCACGAAGCCCTCGAGTGCCTCGTCATCGGTCCCGATTCTTGTGATAAGATCACAAGCGAATCCATAAGGACAGTCGCCATTTGTTGCCCAAGGCTCCGAAAACTCCAACTCTCGGGCATTCACGACGTGAATGCTGGGGCAATCGATGCCTTAGCGAGTAACTGCCATTGTTTGACTGATATCGGGTTCATAGACTGCAAGAAAATAGACGAATATGCCCTCGGGAGTGTTCGGTCAGTTAAACTCCTTTCGGTGGCAGGGACTACAAACCTGCAGTGGGACTTGGTCTTGCAGAACTGGACGAGTCTTCCGAACTTGATTGGTTTGGATGTTTCGAGAACGGATATTGAACCATTGACTGTGACCCGTTTTTTCTCATCCTCTGCCAGCTTAAAGGTTTTGTGCGCCTTGAATTGCCCGTTGCTCGAGGAAGACTCGAGCTTTGCTTCGAACAAGAATCTCAAGGGAAAAGTGCTGTTGGCTGTTTTCACAGATATTCTCAACGGAGTGGCTTCTCTGGTTGGTCATAACAACCCGAAAAGTGGCGGGAATTGTTTTCTGGACTGGAGAAAATCTAAAATCGGCGATAAAAAGATCGACGAGATTATGAGTTGGCTCGAGTGGATGATATCCGGTGCTCTCCTTCGCGTTTCTATGAATAATCCTTCTGGTTTGGATAGTTTTTGGCTCAACCAAGGGACTACTTTGTTGCTTGGTTTCATGCAGAGCCCATTGGAAGAAGTTCAAGAGAGGGCAGCTACAGCTCTTGCGACTTTTGTAGTGATTGATGATGAGAATGCTAGTATTGATACAGGAAGGGCTGAGGCAGTTATGAGAGATGGTGGCATAAGGCATCTGCTAAATCTTGCCCGGTCGTGGAGGGAGGGACTTCAGTCTGAGGCAGCTAAGGTGATATTTCTGGTTTTTTGTTGGTTCTATTTTATGTGGTGTGTGTTAAACCTTGAGTTTAATTGGATTCTAAAGCTATAAGATGATTTTATGTTGTTGTGACTTTAAGGTACCTCTTGCTCTTTGGAAAGTAAAAGGAAATATTGTAGTCTCTTGGCTTAGGGACGAACATTTCCTTTTTTTTTTTATAATCTACTGTTAGATGTTACAGGGATTGTTAGCGTAGATAAGCCTTATATTCCCTACTATTGAGAATTGAGATTTCGGAGTGTGTGAGTGGGTTACTTAGGGAGTGTTTGCATACAAATAAACCAGTTTTTACTCTTTTTTGGTTTAACCATAGTTAATTTAAAAAAGTTGGTTTGGTTAGTTTTTAGCGAGATATTTAAATAATATTTAAAATAAAATGATTAAAATTGATTTGATGTAAAAGTATGAGATTAATGATTGGAAGTGATGGTTAGTTAAAATTATGCGAGTGGCTGAATAGTGAATTAAAGGTGATGTGATGTGTAGAATGATTGATTGATATTATTTGATTATATTGATAATATTGAGGATAGTGTGATTGAATTAAAGTTGAGTTAGATTTTGAGTATGAGTATGAGTTTTTTTTTTATAAAACACCCTGTTACTCCTTGTTGGTGCTTTGTATCCAGTTTTTCCTTCGTTTGGTGTTTTCTTCAAGCTTTTTTAATTAAATTATATGGCCGAAATAACATAATGGAAAGTTCCTTTTTCGTATGCAGGCAATAGCGAACTTATCAGTTAATGCTAATGTTGCCAAAGCTGTAGCAGCAGAAGGAGGCATCATCATCCTTGTAAATCTTGCGAGGTCTGTGAATAGGTTAGTTGCTGAAGAGGCTGCCGGAGGACTTTGGAACCTCTCTGTTGGTGAAGATCACAAGGTTTTGCAATTTCTTTTCTTGTTAATATTAACACTCAGATTTATAATTCTTCAAATCCTCAGATTTTGACCAAAGAAAGATTTTTTGCAGGGTGCTATTGCAGTTGCTGGTGGAGTAAAAGCTTTGGTTGACCTTATCTTTAAGTGGTCAATGTCCAGTGGTGGTGAAGGAGTTTTAGTATGTTTTATCTATATAATCCAGTGTTTATTTTCATGTTGTATGATAACACTATGATGGAAATTGTGACTAAGTTGATATGTTAATAATATCTTGATTGATTTGAAGGAACGTGCTGCTGGGGCATTGGCAAATTTAGCTGCGGATGATAAATGCAGCATGGAAGTTGCTTCAGCCGGCGGTGTGCATGCCTTAGTGAAGCTGGCTAAGAGTTGCAAATTCGAGGGGGTGCAAGAGCAGGTGGCTAACTGTTCTATCAGGATGTGAAAGAATTATTATTGCATATTTTTTTTATCTGCATTCTTTTTGCATGTTGGGATTTTTGTTCATTGTGGGTCACCAAAAACTATTTCTTTCATTATCTGTCATGGTTTGCCATGGTTTGTGATCTTATATGGGACCATATGCCTTGGGTGGCTTTTTTCCTCTGAATAAGGTGGAATAAGAATTTATTTAATTTCCTTATGTGTACTGATTTAAATTTGATTAAATAATTTATTAGCAGTCTCGGCTGATTTCACATGAGATCAAATTCTTTCTAGCAAAAGGGCGCTTTCATATGAATTTAAGTTGCTTACGGCGTGCTTGGATACGGCTGATTTCACATGAGATCAAATTCTTTCTAGCAAAAGGGCGCTTTCATATGAATTTAAGTTGCTTACGGCGTGCTTGGATACAAACATATCAGCTCAAAATGAGTTTTTTTGGTTAACCATGGTTAATTTTGAAAAAGTTGGTATGATTAGTTGTTAGTGGGATTTTAAATTTATAGTAAAATTATATAATTAAAGTTGATTTGATGTTAAAGTAAGAGAGAAATGATGCAAAGTGGTAGTTAGTTAAAATTATGTGAGTGAATGAGTAGTGAATTAAAGTTGATGTTATGTGTAAGAATGATTGATTGATATTATTAAATTATATTTATAATATTGAGGATAGTGGGATTGGGTTAAAGTTGAGTTGAAATTTGAGTATGGATTGAGTATGAATTGAGATAATTTATAAACAAACACATCCTTAGCAATTTCGTCTTTTTTCCAAGTTAATTTGTTGAGAGACTCATCAGCACTTCCTCTGTTACTAATCCTCTTCTCTGTTTTGTTTTATCAGATGCTATTTAATTGCTACATCTATCTTCAGTCAATCATTTGGTCTTGCAAAGCCCTCTGTGTTAAAACAGTTTCTGAACAATGTTCTTGTTTTTTGTTCCAGTCAGCTCGAGCATTGGCTAATTTGGCTGCCCATGGCGATAGTAATAACAATAATGCTACAGTTGGGCAAGAAGCAGGAGCACTCGAAGCCCTTGTGCAACTTACGCATTCCCTTCATGATGGTGTCAGGTTATTTATATTTAATATATATATATATATATATTCTAATATATATGTGTGTGTGTGTGTGTAATTTCTTTTGCAGTTTTTGTTCTATATTTGTTCACATATTTGTGAGACTTAAATTTATGCTGTTCCTCATGGTGTTTGCTAAAAATGTGCATGAATAAAATATGACTCACGTTCCTTAATCTGCAGGCAAGAAGCTGCTGGTGCATTGTGGAATTTATCCTTTGATGACAGGAATCGAGAAGCAATTGCAGCAGCTGGTGGAGTTGAGGCTTTGGTATGGCACGCAATTATCAATGAATTCTAGGGAGCTCCAGTATACTTGTTCAGAATTAATATTTTATACATGGTTCAAGGTTAAGATTAAACCAATTTACACCAGCCAAGTTGAATGAGGCTATGTTTTTCACTTTTGCTATTAACTGACTATGTCTAGATAACTTAACAGTAAAACAAATATGTCTGAAGAAACAATTGATCGTTGATGAAAGTTTCTTCAATTCATTTTTTGTTTTCTTGCTCACTAAGCTTTCTTAATGGTAGTCCTATCTTCTTTGTAACTTTGGATTATTGATTCTGGTATCTTTACTCCATGCTACTTTATAGAGTTTTGGATTTCATTTGAATATCACAATAATAGAGAAATATCAATCACCTATTTCAGTTTTTTCACTTTTAGCTCGCATTTATATATTATGACTCATCAAATTGTATTTAAGAGATCATTTGGTTTTTACCAAGAATTTGTGTACTTTGTGATGATATTAGTAAAGAAGTCCAGATCTATTTTCATACATGCTTAGATATTAGTAAAGAATTTGTGATAGATGTTTAGATAGTCAACCAAATGTGCAGTTCTTGGTTAGTTGAATTTTCTTAAGAGGCATAAAGAATCATTGCTAGTAGCTTATCTAAGTGGAATTGTATGGATTTTCTCGGTTAGTTGGCTTTTTCTTAGGCACTTAAAATGCACCCACATCAAGGGGTGGGAAATTATCATTTTTTTCTTTTTTTTTTCTCCGTTGGCTCCATTCTTTTCATCTTTTTTCACAAATAATCATTAACTGCCATGCATATTACTTATTGATCCTAAGTGGCTCTTGTTCTAGCGTTGGCATTAGTAGGTAGAAATGTTTCTTTACTCTTACTAATTTCAAATTTTCGGACTCGTTATGCTGTAATCTGCCGACAACATCTTTGTGGTTAATGAAAGGAACAAGTTCTGGTAACTATGGAGAAATTACTTCTTTCCTTTTTGTAATTGCAAACCTATTGTTGATCGATATGGAGACTATGTTTGTCGACACTTTCACTATCTTGGCTTTTGTTCAAGTGTCCCATGGCCGTGGTTATCATTAATGGAATATTAAGTTTCTTTTTTGTTGTGGAAAAGATATTTCAAGCTCTCATTTATATTACTTTGTATTTGTGGGTCGATTTTAGGTTGCTCTAGCACATTCCAGTGCGAATTCATCTCATGGGCTTCAGGAGAGGGCTGCAGGTGCTCTCTGGGGATTGTCTGTCTCGGAAGCAAATAGGTAAGATTGTAGAAGATATTCCTTTCACGAATGAGAAGGAAAACGGTTATAGAAGATATTACTTAATTCTTTTTATCTGAAAAATCATATACAGCAACAATTTAGTATCTTTATCAGCTTGATGGTTCTTTCGAGTTACTGGTATCTTTAGAGTCTAAAACCAGTAAAATGCACTATGTTCACATTTCCTTCTTTAATAATAGCATTGCAATTGGGCAAGAAGGAGGCGTGGCACCACTAATAGCACTGGCCAAATCTGATTCTGAGGTAAATTATATATATATATATATATATATATATATATATATAGTATATACAGCTTTTTTAAATTGTCTTCTAAATTTTTATATATGCCACTTAGACTTATTAGTGATTGCATTACATCTTACTCCTTTTTCATCCATGTGTCTTTTGCTTGCCCAGTTGTTTATGATTTACCAAATATTATTTACACAATTTAGCTTAACTAACCAGGCTTTATTGTGGTAATTTGAGAGTCCTAATTTGGCCTGATGTACTGATCTTCAGATTTTTTGCATTTAAATAAATCTCAGGATGTTCACGAGACTGCAGCTGGGGCTCTTTGGAATCTTGCTTTCAACCCGGGCAATGCGCTTCGTATTGTAGAAGAAGGAGGCGTGCCTGCATTAGTTCATCTTTGTTCTTCGTCTGTATCGAAAATGGCTCGTTTCATGTCTGCATTGGCACTTGCCTACATGTTTGATGGAAGGTACTTTTTCCCACATTCAAAATGATAAAAAATTATCATTAATAAAGTAATAAACAACATGGTGGTAATATTGCCTAGTAAAAAAATAAGTGTCTATAATCATCATTGTTATATTTTTCTTGAAAATGGTTAATTCATGATAGAGGTATATATATCATTGTATGATAATTGTTTTTTTNGATGAAATTGCACTTGTGGGAACATCGAGCGAGGGCATTTCGAAAAGCGTGAAGTTAGAAGGGCTTAGAAGATTAGCTATGAAAAATATAGATGCATTTGTGATGACATTTTCGGACCCTCAAGCGTTTGCCTCTGCAGCAGCATCGTCAGCACCTGCACCGCTGGCACAAGTAACCGAGTCGGCTCGTATTCAAGAAGCTGGCCATCTCAGATGCAGGTTTCTTCTTTCCTCCTCTTTTAAGAGGAAAATAATTTGTATTTCTTTTTCTATTTTTCCTCAATAACTCACGTTCTTTCGTTTTTTTTCATTCAGTGGGGCTGAAATCGGGAGATTTGTTACTATGTTACGTAACCCTTCCCCTACACTAAAGGGATGTGCTGCATTTGCTCTTCTTCAGGCAAATAATCTCCCTCTCTCTTTCTCTCTCTCATTCACTCAACTCACAAATTCACTCACTCACACTCAAAAGGAAAAAATACAAAATGCACATGCCCGGATAAACTCGAACGTGCAAGAAAACTACAACACATGATTTTTCGTAAGGACAATCCGAAAAAACTCAGGACTTCTTATTCTTTCTTATAGGCTTGGAAGTTATTTTCTTGTTTTCTTTGTTTTTTTTATTATCTCTAGTTCCACATTTAGATTCTTGTTCCCGTATATAGTAAATCATTCACATCAAAGTTCAAAGCTTTGAACCAACCCAAAATTTTATCAACATATAATTTTTTTCAACCTTTTTATTTTTTGAAATGCAGTTTACCATCCCTGGAGGGCGGCATACCGGGCTTCACGTTCAGCTCCTCCAGAATTCGGGGGCCCCACGTGTGCTTCGTGCATCGGCTGCGGCTGCTAGTGCTCCTATTGAAGCCAAAATCTTCGCTAGAATTGTGCTTCGCAACATGGAGCAACATCAAAGGGCCGAATTTTCCGTCTGAAAGGAACAGAAAAAAGAACAAAAAGGAAAAGAATGTAAAATGTTTTCAGTGTATTTGTATCATCACATGAGAACTCTGTCTGGTTATGAAGTGGATTTTGTCTAGACTGTTTTTGGTTTTTCATATTTTTAGTGCTGTACAAAAATCACTTGATGAAGAGTCTGCTTTTTATTTTTTTTTTGAAGAAATAAACCTTTTTACTTTATGTGTGCCCTTTTTCTTTCAATTTTCTTGTAATGTTGACACATAATTTAGATGTTTGCTGAGATAGATAACTATGTGACATATTTTTAGGGATATTATATGTCTGTACTCTGTCAAGTAATTGGCTCGGCTCGTTTGATAATCGAGAGCTCGTCTGCAGCTCATTAGTTAACTAAGACACGAAAGTAGGAATATTTATATAATTTTTTATAATTCGGATCGTTAATGCTTGAGTTCAAATTATTAAGGCTTGTGCTTGACTTGTTAATATTGATAAATAATCGAGGTTGCTTTTACCTGAGCTCGAGTATGGAAAGTTCGAGCTTAGCTCGTTTACACTTCTACAGTCACACTCTGATATATGTTGTAACGCGCCAAATATTTTTACTATTTATAAAGCTCGACTTTATTTTCATAAGTAACCAGTTTCTTTATATTAAATCGAGTAATTAGTATTAAGTCTAAGACATGGAGAATTTATTCGATTTTAATATTAAAATTGGATTTATTTAGCCAAAGTATTGGTTTTATTTATAAGGTAAAACCGAGTTTTGGAATAATCAAAATTTTAATAAGTCGGGTCGAAACCCGGACGAGCCAAGCCTTGACCTAGATCATTTTCGAGCGGGTGGAGTTTATTCCGGCCCATTTTAATTAATCGAGCCTATGTTCAATTGTATTATCCCGACCAAATATTATTTATTCGACCGACTAATTAATTTAGTCTAAGTCTCGATTAATAATTAAATGTCTGAACATTTCATATTTAACCTAAGTATTCGGTCCAAGCCGTTTATTTGTCCAAGCTCAACTTCCAACCCAAGTAGCCATTTTAATTCTAGTCCAAGTCAATTTAATTGAAGCCCAAAATTTGAGCCCAACAAAATAAAAACCCTACCTCCTCTCATGGGTATAAAAACACACCATCATCTTCACCAAACTTAAAACCCTAGCCACCACCATCTCCTCCACACCACCTTCAAGAATCCGGCCAGCCATCACGTTTTCCGGCCATCTCCTCCGGCGAGCTCACCACCGGCGACCAGTAGAGCCACCGCTCAGCCCTTCCTCGCCGTTTTCACGTCGCTGCCACCTTCACGACGAGCCTACGACCAGCGAGCAGCCCACCTTGGCCTTCGTCTTGAGCCGTTGGACGTCAGATCCGGCGAGCTCCAAGCCCAGCCCTGCTCGACGTCCCGTCCGGCAAGCCGCAGCAGCTCCTCGCCCCCGTCCCTACGTGTTCTGTCGAGCCGGAGTCGGAGCTCCCCGCGGTCGACAGCCATCTCCGGCGACCTCGCAGACACGCACTAGCCAGCCGCTGTTCGAGTCCCGTCAAGCTCCCAGCTCCGGCGACCGTCGTCCACCCCACGCCGCCGAGCAGCTCGAGCGTAGCCACGCCGCCGTCACAGCTCACCCAACTCCGTTTTCCGGCGAGCCTTCGCAGCAGCTCGCCGTCCGTTTTCCGGAAACCTTCACGGCTAACCCGAACCAGCCACGCCGACGTCATATCCGGCAACGAGCTCATCTTCCGGTGACCGTACGAGCAAGCTCGCAGCAGCCCCGTACCATACGTGTCCCGATCTGTGCGAGCCGGGCCAGTTCCAACCAGACCCTAGCCGTTTCCGTCGAGCTGCACAAGAACCGAGGTCCCCAGCCACAGATCCGAGCTGAACCTCGCAGCCCGACCCGATCCCAACAGTTCGATCCATTTCCACTAGTCTTAGTCATCTTCTGATTTTTCGTTTGAGCCCGTTCCTGAGGTATAAGGCTTAAACCCTCCTCCGCATTAGACATCAATTTTTTTAGTTAATTATAAAAATGAGTTTGGGAATTTTCGAGCTAGCTATGATTTATTATGATTTTATTGAGTAAAAAGGCTATAAATTCATATATATTGTGAGCTGAGCCGAAAAATATGATTTCAAAGGGATTAATTTTATTTTGACGTCTTGAGCCTTCGATTAAATTTTTGTGAATTTTGGAGCTCGTTTTGGACCGATAATGCTCGATTTTAGTTAGCTGAGATTTTTACCCTAAGTCATATAAACAATGAGTAGGCTGTGGTTGAAATTTCATATTTTAGGATGTCGTTTGGTATAGTTTAAATATTGGACTTTAGCCAAATAATGCGATAATTTTAGAAATTAATCCGGTTGCGATTTAGTTGTTGCAGTTGTTGGATGTAAAATCCTTATAAATCACATAACTTAGGTTTTAAAAAATTGGATTAAAATGAGATAGGTTTTTCGAGAATCGAGAACCTTAGTTTTTTATCGGTTCCGATAATCGGGTAAAGTTTGGATTCGAGTTTAATCATCCGAACACTTGTGCCATTTAAACCCCTTTAGACGTCATAAGCTTATAAATGAGTCTTAGGTTGTTGGTATGTGGTCGGTCGGCTGTTAGTCGCCGATGGGACCATAACCGAGCCTAAGAAGCCTTTCGAGGCAGTGTGCCTCGTAGCAATTAGAATTTTTCAACCGACGTGTACTACATGTATCCTTAACGCGATTCGATATCCCACACATGTGTTTGACCCCCGTCCGACCGTTGGAGCCGAACCATCGAGTGCGTGCCCATGCACCGAGTCATAGTCGAATCACCGAGTGCGTGCCCGTGCACCGACCGTCCGATCTACTATCAATGCGCCGTTCTTCGTAAGCCGTGGTCCAAGCACGCCCCTTACGTCAGTGACCGTGGCATCGTTTCTAACCCGTGCATCGTTCATTGGATGTTTTAACAAAGATAACGGCGTCAACTAAATCCGCAGACATTGAATTTAAAATCCAAGAAATCACCATTTGCCAATCACATCCCTTTGCAACTGAAATATCAAGAGGCCATTACTTTCCCCAAACCATTTGCCAATCACATCCCATTGTTCATTTGATGTTTTAGCAAAGATAAAGGTCCCGGCTAAATCCGCAGACATTGAATTTAAAATCCAAGAAATCACCATCCAATCAACTTTTCGATGTAAAATATATCTCTTCTCGCCATCCCCACTGGCTTCAAAAGGGACGTCTCTTTTCATGAATAAATGGAAATGTTACCTTATCACTTTTTGGCAGCCCCAATATCAGTATCCCGATCCCGATTTCTGCAGAAAAAGTCTTCTAGCAAGCGAAACTCCTTAGCGGTGAGCGAAAAAGTTGTCATTGGTTATGCGAATCAAGGTCGGATGAAGGGTTTGTTTGAGGGGAAGCGATAGAGGGCTGTGAACAAGGAAGCTATATGCCTCACTCAGATCCACTGAACTGGACAGACCAGCACGGGATAGACCTCCTGAGGATGGGGATCCAAGCCGGAGAGCATTATAATGAATAAGGACCTATTACATCAATTCCTTTTAACGGTAGGCAGGCCAATAAACCGCTCTGCTTGTCGGAGATAAGGTCAGTACGGAGGAGCTCTATTTCTGATAATAAGGATCGCCTAATTCCAGTTCTTTCAGTGGATAAATCCTAATTTTGTTTTAGCTCCGAATGCTATCTTCATAGAACGCTTCCATGCTAGAAATTAGAACTGGTAATTTGATTTGAACCAACTGGATGAACAGATCCGTGCAAAAATAAAGGATTATCCTCACAATTTTTCTATCCATTGTTTACTCTAACATTCAATCCCGACCATGCATTTTCAGTGTTCCGATTTTGTAACATTGTAGTGAAATCGAAATTAAAACCTCCAGTCCTCTCAACCAACCAACTCTAAATACCATGAAGAAATGCTAGAAAAAATTTGGTGTTTAAGCTCAAAGTATATGCTCCATCATCATTTCCCAAAACTCACTTTCAAAATACATGCACTTTTACTCTGAGCTCAAAATAGGAATCCCTAAGCTAAAGCAAAACGACATTGTACAACTTAACAACAAGCTAAAGGATAAAACGACACCATATGATGGTTTAGCTATAATAAAAAGAAACGCAAAACAAAAGGCACATAGCAACTAAGTAACAAATAAAAAAAAGGGTCTCCATGAAAAAGAACTCCCATGAAACTCCAATGCTCCTTTTGAACTTGTGAAAATCACATTCTCTACAATTTGAATTTAGCCTTCAACAATACTTCACCTCATCCTTGCAAATGTAGACAAAAGAGAAGAAAAAACATTAATTTTGTAGACACTAGCATATATGTCAAAGGAAAACAAATGAAAATAAATTAGGTATGTACTAGCCTCTGGCATACTTGAAAAAAAAAGAGATGCATCTTCACCAATACTCGACCTCATTGTTGCAAAGGTAGACATTAATTATGTAAAAAGAAAAAAAAAGGAGAAGAGGAAAAGAAATAATAATTTTGTAGACACTAGCATATATGTCAAAGGAAAAAAAAAGGAAGAAGAAGAAAAAGGAACAACAACAAACAAATTTGAAACAAACTTGATTAAACCTTGTAAGGACGAATAATTATAGCCACCCTTCCTAACAACATCCTTGTACACTATCATAAAAAATGATGGAAAAATAAAATCAAAATATTTAAAAATGCCCCCCAATATTCTTCATCGTGGCTCTAATCCATGCATCCGATGGGGCGAGATGTGCATGATTGTTGCGGAATATTCTCGCAAATTGATAGTTCACAAAGTCTAAGCGTTTTGCCCAACCATCCTGGTCTACTACTCATTGTGTTTCTCCCGGTGCAAGTAAATAAGAATTGATAGTTCACAAAGTCTAAGCGTTTTGCCCTACCATCCTGGTCTACTACTCATTGTGTTTCTCCCGGTGCAATTAAATACGAAGCCTGGTTTTTCGACGTTTTTTGACATACAATCACATGTTTGAAGTTGTACCTAACCGTCTTTTTGTTCACATCTTCAATGTCTCGAGAATAAAATCTCATTTTTTTGTTCATCTTCTTCTACACCAAAGGATGCACTAGAACATCATTAAGAGAGTAAGAGAGAGCCTGCAATATAATTGGCTATTAATGTTAAATCACTTACATTTCGATCAAAGAAGTGACGACGAGCGGAGTATGAAGAGAGATGAAAGAAAAATAACAAAATAAAAATTAGCCCTTTTACGAGTTTTGGCGCAGTGTAAGCAATTCAGATAATAAATTTCGAATCTCATTAGAAACATGCAGATACTGTAATTTTCCATCAATAAGAGCGTTAAAGCCCGCCTCGCCTCAGAACCTTTCAAAGCCTCCGTATACTCCTGACTCGAATAAAGCATCGACTCGCCCGTTACAACTGTCCACAATTTGAGTCCAACACGAAAGACATTTGTCTTCGGATATTGAGAATCATCAAGGGTTGGATATATAAATTCTTCTGGAGCTTTGATATCTATTTCACATATACAAATATAAATAACATGTGATATGAGAGAATGTAAACTACAAATAAAAAATTACCATTATCATGAGAAGAGGGAAGAGATAATTAAGCTTTATGTGGTTGTTTTGGTAGCAAAAATCACTCGTCCTAAAGCACACTCTTGTGTACCCACTGGCATGCAACACTTTCAAAGTTCTTACAAGCTCCCTACATTATATTTGTAAATATTATCATTTCTTAATTTAAGAAGTAAAATATGAAATATAATGAAAAGACATACAGATAAGTTTCATAAGAGCTGTAGTCGGGTGTCCTAGTGTTACGTCTCCCCACTATGTACCACGTTCGATTTCGCTCATTCCAGTTCTTACGAATCCGAAAATTTTTGCTGGAAAATAAAAGCAATCATGATTGGAAGGATCACGAACAATCCAGTTCTTTGTCAGATTTATGTTACTAATTCCACCAAAGTCACGGTAGGCCATAATTGGTGGAATGAGTGACGTAAATCTGGTAGGGTACTGGATTGTTCGTGATCCTTCGGATCATGAATATGCTTTTATCGCTCGACAAAAGTTTTTGGATTCCGTGCTAAATCGAATGTGGTACACAGTGGGAAAGCGCAACATCAGGACACTCGTCTGGAAGCTTATCTGGTATAAGTTTTTTCATTATATTTCATTTTAATTGTAATATTTATAAATATAATGTAGGGAACTTGTAAAAACTTTGAGTGTGTTGCATTCCAATGGGTACCCAAGAGTGTTCTTTAGGACGAGTAATGTTTGCTATCAAAACAATCATATAAAGCTTAATTATCTCTTCGATGATGGTAATTTTTATATGTAGTTTACATTTTCTCATATCATATGTTATTTATATTTGTGTATGTGAAATAGATATCAAAACTCTAGAAGGACTTATATATTTAATCCTCGATGATTCTGAATATGCCTTTGTCTTTTGTGTTGGACTCACATTGTGGACAACTGTAACAAGTGAGTCGATGCTTTATTCGAATAAGAAGTATACAGAGGCTTTGAAAGGTTCTTGGGCGGGGTTTGACGCTCTTATTAATGAGAAATTATAGTATCTGCATGTTTCTAATGAGATTCGAAATATTGTTATCTGAATTGCTTACATTGCACCAAAACCGGTAATGGAGCTAATTTTTATTTTGTTATTTTCTTTCCTCTCTTTTTATACTTCGCTCGTCGTCGCTTCTTTGATCGAAAGAATAAGTGATTCGACATTCACAACCAATTATATTGTAGGTTTCTCTTTATGATGTTCTAGTGCATCTTTTAGTGTGGAAAGATGAGCGAAAAAATTAGTTTTTATGCTCAGTCGTTAATATACTTGAAGTGCCTCGAGGCATTGAAGATGTGAACATAAAAGACGGCTAGGGTACAACTTTATACATGTTATTGTATATCAAAAAATCAGGTTTCGAATTGACTTGCACCAGGAGGAACACGAGTAGACGGGCAAAACGCTTAGACTTTGTGGATATGATAGTTTGCGTTAGGGGGTAAATACGACTCGAGGAGTTTCAACGAGTTGCTGATAATGTTTCGAAACAATCATGCACATCGAATGCATGGATTAGAGCCACAATGAAGAATTTTTAGGGATATTTTTAGATATTTTTCCATCGTTTTTTATAATGGTGTACAATAATGTTAGTAGGAAGCGTGGCTATAACTAATCGTCCTTACAAGGTTTAATCCGGTTCAAATTTGTTTGTTGTTTCTTCTTCTTCATTTTTTTTTGCTATGACATAGTTGTTAGTGTCTAAAGTTATAGTTTCTTTTCCTTTTCTTTTTTCTTTTTACATAAACATTTGAAGGGATGAGGTCGAGTATTGCTGAGGGATGAATTCAGATTGTAGAGAATGTGATTCAGTTGCAAATGTTTTACATAAACTTTTGCTCCAATCTCTTCCTTTTGTTTCAACCCCTTTTTGTGTTTCTTTTACCGATGGTTCTCTTGGGTTTCATTTCTAGCCTACCCCGACTTGCTTGGAACTAAAGACTATGTTGTTGTTGTTGTTGTAGTTTAATAAACTTAAAAAGATGTGGGGTGAGTACAATTGCTTGGTGCCTTAGTTGCTTGTAGTTTAATAAACTTAACAAATAAGTTTTTTAATGTTTTTTTTTTTGTTAACTATGATTAAGTTTGAAAAAGTTGATTTGGTTAAATTTTAGTGGAATATTAGAATGATATTTAAAATAAAATTTATTTGGAGTTTTGGAGTGATATTGACTTGAGCGTTGGAGGCTCGATGCCGGGACCTCTCTCGGCGTTGGTTCTTGCAGGTACGGAGGTTCGTTCGAGTTGAAGGAGCCCGGGTGAAATCCATTTTCACCAACAAGCTTCGTGTGAATTCGGGTGTTTTTTTTGTACACATATGTACTTTAAACATTGCCGCTGCCACAAAAGAAAGTTTTCTTGTACTCTTTGTGGTTTTATGTTTTGGGGGAATTTCCAAATGGGTTTGCATTGAAGACTAGCTTTCGTTCCTTGTTGCAGATAACAATGTAAGTTGAGGCTTTCTCTTTTATACACCAAAAAACCGCCGGTTATTTGTGTACGAAAAATCATATTTTTTTTCTTTTCATTTTTGAGGTTTCTTTTTAGGTTTGGTGGGCTTCATTTCACTGTCTAGAAATCGCTTGGTGAAGAAAATTTTCCGTTGAGCTTAAGAAATGGGTCTGATGAGAAGTTGGAATTTTCTGAGTATTTTTTTTATTTTTATTCTATTTGGGTTGTGGTTCGTTTTTGTAGTGATACAGCCCGTTAATGGATTTTGAGAGCCTATAAGCAGATGCCCTCACTGAGAGTGTTTCGGCCGGATACAAGACTCTTAAGGTACCAGTTTCTTAGTGGACCATTTGATCGACTGGGTCTCTAAGTGATTACTTTAGTTTAGTTCTCTTTATTGATTTCACTGTTGCAATTATAATACATTATGTCACAAACTCAGTCAATGATGAAATGCATACCACCTAGTTTTCTGAAAAATGGTTATTGATGAAAATTGATGAGAAAATGAAAATTGTCTGTTCATTGAAAATATGATGCAGTTGGTGAATCTTTGTGCAGGCGCAGAAGATGTTTGGAAACAGATGGACTGAGATTGCAAAGGTGGTTTCAGGCAAGAAAAAAAAAAATTAGATAATTTCAAACATTTATCCAGTCGTATTTGTTGGCTTTATTTCGTGATGAAAATTCAAAAATCTTGATGGAAAAAGTCATAGAAAACATCTTTTTTTTTTCTTTTTGTTTCTTGTTAGCTTAAGAAAGGGATTTGCCTTTCTTATGCTTGTTGTGTGCTTTATTTTTGTTTTTGTTTGTTATTGTTTGATTACGTCGTGCAGAAAGGGATTTGGCTAATCTTACCTTTGATGCTGAGTTATTAAAAGACCAAGGTACAATCTTTCAAAATCACTAATAAAGGATTACTGTAATTACTAATCTTATCTTTGATGCTTAATGCTAATGGAGAATCTGAAAGTGCTGAGTTATTAAAAGACCAAGGTACAATCTTTAAAAATCACTAATAAAGGAATTACTAACCTTACCTTTGATGTTTGGCCTTATAGCAAGACAACTCCCCTTATCCTTCAAAATAACAAAATACACATTGCATGGTGTTGTAAATACTCTGTAGGCTTTTGTAATTCTACCTGGGGGTTGTTTAAATATTGAATATTTTATTTATGTTCTAATAAATTGCTCCTATGTGTATGTGTAAGTATTCAGTAGGACCTATATCTTAAATATCATAAAGAATCACAACCTAGATGGATTGACTGGCGAGCGTGGTTTCCCAAGTCATTTGCTCAGACATTCTTTTCAAATGCTAACTCCAAATGTCCATTGTTTTGCGGTTGACCTTCCAATCGATACACAAATCGACAACATGAAAGAGGCTTCAAGTGATGAAAGTGAGTTCTGGCAACCTTTTATACTTAAATGTCACTTTGACTGAGCAATTGAAGTAAAGTGACTTCATTCTTTATTTATTTCTTTATTTGTTTGTTTTCATTTTCTTTTCTATTTCTTTTTTTTTTACATTTCATGCAGCTGTAAATAACAAAGGTGAACGAACATTTCTTAAGAAAGACGACCCAAAGGTGATTGCATTGATGCAGCATAGCTCACTTGGCATCAAAGTGGAAACAGAGAAAACGGACGTTTGGTCTTTTTGTACCAAGATATAGTAGCCAGCTGAAATTCCGCAAATGGTTCAATTATAAGATTTTTTTTTATCCCAATATTTCTACTCTCTCTAATCATAAATGCCTTCTTCATTCCCTTCTGTGTGTTGCCAAATTTATTGAGGTCGACATTTTCGTTGGGCTTCTGAACTCTTGCGTGAGAATTTTGCATATCAACATTACAAGCAATCAGATTAGAACCGTAATATTGAACGGGATTGAATCTGAGTACCAAAGTTGATAAAAGAACATGTAGTAGATCCATTAACTAAGATTATTTATCAAACTATATTAGGATACCAAAAGGCAACAAAAGTGAATCGGATGCTGTTTAAAACAAACTGGGATGTGAAAATACATAGTTGTGGGCTACTTGTTTACGAAGAACGAAATTAAAGGAAAACAATAACACTAAATGAATAGTCACTTTTCAAAGCCATCACAGATTCTTAGTGAACAAAACGAGCAAGCACATTATGAAATGGAACAAACTCTTCTCAATCACAAGGAGACGAGAAAACACACATAATGAAGTTGAACAAAACTCAGTCAATGAGAACGTGAATAGTCCCACTAAAATACAATACAAATACCAAACACAAATTACGTTAAGCAAATTCTAACCAAAAGAATCATATAACAGTCTCATTCGCTTCTACCGCAATACTAATATAATCATCTTACATAATTTTTGTGTATATCAATTCTCGGTTTGAAATACAAATATAGTAATACTATGGGGTTTTGTGTTTGAATTGCTTTAAATATAGTTTGTCATTAAACTACTGGTGGGAGATATACTCACCTCACCCCAAGCGAACTTACTATGGGTGGGACCTTTGAGTTCAAACTCTACATCGGAAATTCAATTTTTTCCCTTCTTGCATGAAAGAAGCCACTGCATCATAGTGCAATTTCACTAATTAGAAATTAAACCATCAAATATTAAAGATGTGCACTTTCCTCTACCTGTTACCTGCCTAGAGACAATTAATAGTTGGTGACACTAAGAGATAGACTGTGAGACGAAAACAACCAGCCCATCTCGAGAAACAAAATTCAAACATTGCTCTAATTTGTTTGATGATACTCATGTATGGCAAGAGATATAAATTAGTACAACCTTAGCATTAACAACGAACAAGAAATCATTTCAGCTGCTTACCATCTCTATAGTTTAACTTTTAATCGAAACTAAAAATGTTGCTGGACAGGACGTAACGAATGTATGATTGCTGTTGGCTAGATGTCTGATTCTGTGTTTCATTCGATGCTCGATGCGTGACATTGCGTGTTTACTTCGTTTCAATGCGTGACCGGCTAGTGCATATGTTCGGGCGGGCAATTTCAACCCGAAACCGGTTTTTTCATGATTAGAACAGAATTATCTATTAATATATTCCGGTTTGAATTGTGAAAACTCAATCTTGACTTGTTTATATGTTTAAACAAGTCAAATAGTTAATCGAACTTGTCGATCAAACAACTAAAGTCGAACATGTTTGCAATCAACTCTATAAGAGTTTTTTTTGTCTACGAAATGAGACCAAATTAATTATTGGAGGCGAATTCAACAAAAACCGAACAAAAATGGTTTACAAAACTGTGCAATGAGACAAGCTCACGCAGGAGAAGTGTGCGTCAAGCTTAATTATTCTGGTACTTGTCAAATTAACCCATTAAGAATTTAAAAGGCATTAGAGTGTTGAGTCACATTATAAAATCAATTGATAAAAATTTAATAAGAGCATAATTGTCATTTCACAATAAAGGATTGTCTCCTTTTCTCTCATTATGATCATCACTTATCCACATTGTTGTCAAATGAATAAATTTGAGCTGAATGTTGAGACATCCAGCCCAAAATTAGATGAAGCTACACAAAAAATTACATAGGGCTATATATAAAATTTTCAATAATTTAAAGTTAGATTTTTTTTTTTATGGACCTGGGACTGGAGCCCACCCTAGCCCAAGGGTGGATCCGCCTCTGCTCGATTGTATGCGTTCTTCAGAATATGATCCTCGTTCGCATCAGACCCATCGAACACGTTTGCATGGCATTACAGAAATTATATTGAAGATGAGTCAGATTGTGGTACTGGCTAGTAATGTGAAAGTCTGCATTTGGTTCAGTCATGGCTGATTTGTTTTGTAGAACGCCAAAGCTGTAAATTTGATGGCCTTTGTTAATGATTTTAATCCTTTTCATGGCAATGATTAATTCCATGGTGTTTGCTTATTTTTTTTCAATCTCGATAAATTCAGTAATATTATTGGCTCCATTGACTTCTAGCAATATATTAATCTGACCATTCGTGCAACACCACAAATTGGATTGTCGTTAGTTTGGTTGAGAAGTGATATTGAACTTAATATAATCATTTAAAACAAACAAGGCCTTAGGTTACAAACAACTGGTCAAAAAACTACCACCACCAGATATGTTTGATTTAAGGTATAAATCAAAAGTAAACAAGAAAATATAAAGGGATCTCCAAAACTAACGGAAGGCCAAGCAGAAACAGACTCAAATTTCCTCGTGCTAAGCATCACTTTCCTTTTGGATAAAACCAGCAAACATGTACATTCGCATAAAACCATCAATACCAGCTGATGACCAAATTGTAAAACGTATGTTTCTCAAAATTAAACTAAAATCCACTACAATCCATCTTTGTCCTCATTTTCATCTTCATCTTCATCTTTCTCTCGAGCATTGTCACTAGCCAGGACAAGTCGAGCTTGGTCAATGCGCCCTTTCCAGTAAGTACTTCTCAATCCATTTACAATCGACAAAACATGTTCAAAGCAATCAAGGACAGTACTACAAGGCTGACGATGTGGATCACATTCCATTATATTATCATTCAGAATATGGTTGCTCGGTAATCTGTACCCAAAACAAATTAGATCAAGGATAGCGTCAATAGCATTTATATACTTTCCTCTATTAAGGCAAATGTGTGTCTCCAGAAAGATGGAGTAGATTTTCTGAATATGAATATATTCTCCTTTCCTTCCCCATTCATGGGCACAATTTGGGGAGAGTACAAACTCAAAAAGTTCATCGAGCTTCTTCTGATCAAATCCCAGAGTCTTGTAAAGAATTCTCAGGTATATCCGGGTTCCTTTTTAATAGTCTCTATAGCATAATCAGATTCCTCATCCCCAGATCTCATTCGCAGTTTTGTCACCAAGAAGGTTCTCTAAAAACAAGACAAGGTTGCATTATTCAGATGTCGAATTGAAGGTAACAACACAGAGAATTGCTATATATTGAGAGTTTTGCATATCAACATTACAAGCATCATTCAGATTGGAACCATAATAATGAACGGGATTGGATCTGAGTACCAAAGTTGATAAAAGAACATGTAGTCAACTCATGTAGATCCATTAACTAAGATTATTTATTAAACTATATTAGGATGCCAAAAGGCAACAAAAAGTGAACCTAATGCCGTTTAAAACAAACTGGGATGTGAAATTACATAGTTGTGGGCTACCTATTTATGAAGAATTAAATTAATACAGAGGGCGAGTACATCATCCGTGCGGACTTGATAAAATAACAGAGAATAAATCAAAGTCCCAGGTTCACATAAAAATGCATTTTAACATATATATTGGAATAAAAAAAAAAACACTAAGTGAATAGTTATTTTTCAAAACCATCACAGATTCATAGTGAACAAAACGAGAAAGCACATTATGATATGAACACTTCTCAATCACAAAGAGACGAGCAAACACACATAATGAAGTGAAACAAAACTCAGTCAATGAGAACGTGAATAGTCCCACTAGAATCCAATACAAATACCAAAACAAATTATGTTAGAGCAATTTCTGACCAAAACAATCATATAACAGTCTCATTCGCTTATACCGCAATACTAAAATAATAATCTTACATAATTTTTGTATATACTTTGTATCAATTCTCAGTTTGAAATACATTATAAGCTTTGCACGCATAATATAATACCGTGGGGATTGTGTGTGAATTGCTTTAACTAGAGTTTGTCATTAAACTACTGGTGGGAGATATACTCACCTCAACCCAAGCGAACCTATTATGGGTGCGACCTTTGAGTTCGAACTCTACATCGGAAAATTCAATTTTTTCCATTCCTGCATGAGCTGCCTTGAGAAGCCACTGCATCATAGTACTTTTAGAAATTAAACCATAAAATGTTAAAGATGTGCGCTTTCCTCTACCAGTTACCTTTCTATAAGACCAGCAAGACCGGTTTTCTGGGTGTATACATAAAAACTCCTTTGTGAAGTTGTTCAGAGAACACTCTTGCAGCATCAATCCTACTCCCAATGAACTTCTTTCTTCTATGCCTATGGACAAATAATAGTTGGGGACACTAAGAGATAGACTGTGAAGACGAAAACAACCAGCCCATCTCGAAAAAAAATTCGAACATTGATCTAATTTGTTTGATGATACTCATGTTTGGCAAGAGAAATAAATTAGTACAACCATAGCATTAACAACCAACAAGAAATCATTTCACTTGCTTACCATCTCTATAGTTCAACTTTTAATCAAAACTAAAAGTATTGCTCAACAGGACATAACGAATGTATGTATGCATACGCAGCAACGGCTTACCACAGTTTAGGATCATTAGGGTTGCTTTTAATAAGATGTTCAACTGATTCCAACTGAAGACGAAGATCGTAAGGGGATTTCAGCTCCTGTGATAATTTTTCACATCGTTTAACACATAATGAAACCCAATAACAATTTACACATGCGATTACGAAAGGGGGGAAGAGTTGTATCTATCTACCGTATCAGTCGTCAGCTCGGAATCTGCCGGCGGCGCTCGCCGTGACTGGAAGGGACGTGCCACGTGTTTCCGATCAACAATATGTGGCGGCAAGGCTTTGTGACGGAGAGCAGCAAGCATTCCCTTGGGTAGTTCGTCCACCCGTCGACGACTCGCCGTTTGCCTCATTGTTGTTTAAAGTCGACCCATAGTGCCAGGTAATATATTTGTGAAAAAATTAAATAATTCATATTTTTAGTGTCAAATTATGAATAATGGAATAATAATAATAATCTATCTATATATATATATATATAATAAGAATTAACATTTTTAAAAAATAGTAAGCAAAAAAATAGGGAATATTAATTGCATTCCATTTTTGGTATGTTTTTTTAATAAAAAATCAATTAGCATTTAATGCCAACACAAATCATGGGATTTATTATATAGATGCATATTTGAATTTCAAACTTTAAACAAAACATGCCTAATTGTATTTTGAATTTTTTAGGGGAAAAATTTAACAAACACGTTAAAGATTTCATACAATACATATATTTATATATATTATCTTAACATGTAGGTTAATTAGTTTCATATCTAAACAATATATATTTAAACAATATATAAACAAATATAATAATTTGTCGTACAATACAGACAACTATATAAACGATATATTTATATACAAATATAATAAACAAATATAATAAACAATACAAACAAATATACAAACAATATATAAACGAATATAATAACTTGTCACGTGTATATTTCATACAATACATATATTTATATATATTATCTTAATATATAAATTAATTAGTTTCATATCTAAACAATATATATTTTAGGAACTTAAAGATTCATAACATTACTGACGTCATGCATATTTATAACATATTGTCACGTACATTTTACTACAATTGGTAACTTTTTTAAAATTATTTGAATAATTGGAAGTTGATTTGTAATTTCAATTTCAAATTCATTCAAACATTTAAAGGAAAATATCCTAAGCATATTTTTTTGATACATTTCATTTTATCTCAACTTACATATAATCACATTCCTACCAAACATTAAATTTGCTTATATCTTTTTAAATTAATTACATCAATAAATAATATTAATATACATTACATATTTATCAATATATAACAAATATATTACTTTTACAAGTTTTATAAATAATAATGACATTGTATGATAATAGATTTTTTGATAGATTAATAATTGAAAATTATGATAAACCAAAATATGTAAATTTATTATTATTTTGTACTAAAAATAAATATATATGTTAAAATATTATTTATATAATAATATAAATGGGTCAGCATGCTAATATATTGTGAAAATAAAGTTTTAAAAAAAAGTTCTAAAGTACGAAAACCCCGTGCATCGCACAGGATTCTCACTAGTAAGTAACAAAGTGCTAACTATACAAAATAGCACCCACGTTTTACAATCAATTTGTCATAAATAATACTTTTTTTAATTTTTTTTATAAAATTATATATGTACAAACAAATATTGTTTACAATTTTGTATATTTTTTCAATTTATTTATTAATCAAATTTTATTGTATTGTAATTATATTTTTTACTTATAGATTTGGTGGCTCTTGTTAATTAATTTTCAAGTATTTTAAATTTGTATATTTGAAAAATTAGAATATATATTAATAGGTATAAATTTAATACTTATAGCTTTATGAAATATGAATATAATTTATATTAGTTTTAGTTATGATATTCTTCTCTATTTATTGGTTTGATATTTATATTTATAAAGTCAATGTATCTTGCTTATTAATTTTTAAGTTTTATAAATTAAATATTTGTATCTATAACAATGTATTTATTATTTTGAACATTATAATAACATTTAAGTCTTTATGAACTTTGCTTAAGACGAGAAGTAATATTTTAAATTATTTATTAATTTTTATTTTATGTAATACTATATTTTTTGCATAAATCTATGGGAAAAAAATAATTAATGAATTTTAATGAAAAAACTAATTTTAATTAAAAAAAAGCTTTCTTAAAAACCCCTTAAAATTAGTTAATAAAAAATCTTTCTTAAAATTAGTTAATTATTATTTACGACATAACGAAACTCCTTAAAAAAAAATAAATAATTAATTAATTTTAATAAAAAAAATCTTAAGGAGCTAAAAAAGAAATAATAATCATAAATAAATAATTTCGAAAAAGATTTAGAATAGAACATCATTTAATGTGATTTTATGAGTCCTTAGTAAATAGTTTTGGGTATGCCTACACTATATATATTTTTTAATTAAAAGAAAATTTAAAATATTTCCATTTTGACTATTATTTATTCTCTAAATTCCAAATTCGAAGGTATAATTTTTGAACTTAATTAAATAAGCAAAAAAATACCCAAGAGCACGTGGGTGAGATGGTTGGGGTCTCTCCCAGCTTAACCAGAGGTCTCGAGTTCGAGCCCTGGGAATGCAGCTGTGTTAAAACTCTTGAGGTAGAGCTTTGCCGCCCTTGTGGTCCTACCCGGCTCGATTCCGGATTAGTCGGTCCCCTCGGGGATTCGGAAACCGGAAGGTTCATTGTACCAAAAAAAAAAAATAAGCAAAATACCACGGTCAAGGCTCCTGTTCTCAACCAAACAAGAAGAGAAACAAAAGGAAAAAAAGAAAATTTTAGAAGGATCTGGAAACCCTAAGCCACACAGCTATATAAACAGAGCTCCATTACTGCCCCTTTAGAACTCCCTCAAATCACTGTATCAATAGCCTCTTTGAAATTGCCGAGCGAGAGAGAGAGAGAAAGCAGAAAAATGGCGGATACAGAGACGTTTGCATTCCAGGCCGAGATCAACCAGCTATTGAGTCTCATCATCAACACCTTCTACAGCAACAAGGAGATCTTTCTTCGTGAATTGATCAGCAATTCATCTGATGTGAGTGTCGATTGCCTCCTCCGTACTATACTTGTTTTATGTATAGATCTGATTGCTGTTGGCTATATGTCTAATTGTGTGTTTCATTCGATGCTCCGCGTGACATTGCGTGTTTAATTCGTTTCAATGCGTTTGTAGCAGTGTTTTTTGTGTTGAAGCTGCCTCTGTGTGTGTAATACGGTGCTATGTACCTTGATTTGTGAGTTTTAGCTTCTGGTCACTATTGATATGGTGTTAGAATATCTTTAGGGATTTAGTGATGGTTTATTTACGAAGTCATGGATGGAGGGCTGAGGAATGGTGCCCTCGTATTTGCTATTTCAAATGATTGTTGGAGTTAATTGAGAGTTATTTGTTGAGTGCTTTGCTCTGTTAATCAAATAAATAATTGGCTTACTTTCAGTTATAGTAATATTAGTGTGGATGTTTTTTGATGCATTTCTCTGTGTTATTGTTTCTCATGGGCTGCTCAAGTGAGTACTGGTCATTATAGACCTGAGTTCGCATAGTGTGTGTGTAGGTGACTTATGCAATCCCAATGTGAATCACTGTTAATTGTCCTCCCGATTATGGAATGATGGATCTAGGCTCTAGAAAAGATGATTAGCACTGTAAATTGTTAGTCTGATTATGAAATGATTGATTCAGGCCCTAGACAAGATCCGGTTTGAGAGCTTGACAGACAAGAGCAAGCTCGATGCTCAACCCGAGCTATTCATCCACATCATCCCCGACAAGACCAACAACACCCTGTCCATTATCGACAGTGGTATTGGCATGACCAAGGCTGGTTAGTACATCATGTTCATACTAAATCTTTTTAACTTAAATAGTGCTGTTTGATATGTGAGGGGTTTCTCATGAGTTAACTCTGTTGAAAATCTGCTTGTACTTCTACTTCAGACCTGGTGAACAACCTTGGCACGATTGCCAGGTCCGGCACCAAGGAGTTCATGGAGGCTCTGGCCGCCGGTGCTGATGTCAGCATGATAGGACAATTTGGAGTCGGTTTTTACTCGGCCTACCTTGTGGCAGAGAAGGTGATTGTCACCACAAAGCACAATGATGATGAGCAGTATGTTTGGGAGTCTCAGGCGGGAGGCTCGTTCACTGTCACCCGTGACACCTCCGGCGAACCACTTGGCCGGGGCACGAAGATCACTCTCCACCTGAAGGAGGACCAGCTTGAGTACCTTGAAGAACGCCGCCTCAAGGACCTCGTCAAGAAGCACTCTGAATTCATCAGCTACCCCATTTCCCTTTGGGTTGAGAAGACAACCGAGAAGGAAATATCGGACGACGAGGATGAGGATGAGGAGAAGAAGGACGAGGAGGGAAAAGTCGAGGAGGTGGATGAGGACAAGGAGAAGACCGAGAAGAAGAAGAAGAAGATCAAAGAGGTGTCCCATGAGTGGGACTTGGTAAACAAGCAGAAGCCCATCTGGATGAGGAAGCCTGAGGAGATTACAAAGGAGGAGTACTCAGCTTTCTACAAGTCCCTCACTAATGACTGGGAGGAGCATCTGGCCGTGAAGCATTTTTCGGTTGAGGGCCAGCTCGAGTTCAAGGCAATCCTGTTTGTTCCTAAGCGGGCCCCGTTCGACCTGTTTGACACTAAGAAGAAGCCTAACAACATCAAGTTGTATGTCCGTCGGGTTTTCATCATGGATAACTGTGAGGAGCTAATTCCTGAGTACCTCAGCTTCGTGAAGGGCATTGTTGACTCTGAAGATCTCCCCCTCAACATCTCCCGGGAGATGCTCCAGCAGAACAAGATTTTGAAGGTGATCCGCAAGAACCTGGTGAAGAAGTGCATCGAGCTCTTTTTCGAGATTGCTGAGAACAAGGAGGACTACAACAAGTTCTACGAGGCCTTCTCGAAGAATCTGAAGCTTGGCATCCACGAGGACTCTCAGAACAAGTCGAAGATTGCTGAGCTGCTGCGGTACCACTCGACCAAGAGCGGGGACGAGATGACGAGTCTCAAGGACTACGTGACGAGGATAAAGGAGGGCCAAAATGACATTTACTACATTACGGGAGAGAGCAAGAAAGCAGTCGAGAACTCACCTTTCCTCGAGCGGCTCAAGAAGAAGGGTTATGAGGTCCTGTACATGGTGGACGCCATTGATGAGTACGCCGTAGGCCAGCTCAAGGAATTCGAGGGGAAGAAGCTTGTCTCGGCCACCAAGGAGGGCCTGAAGCTTGACGAGAGTGAAGACGAGAAGAAGAAAAAGGAAGAGTTGAAGGAGAAGTTTGAAGGGCTGTGCAAGGTGATCAAGGATGTCCTTGGAGACAAGGTCGAAAAGGTAATTGTGTCTGACCGTGTGGTGGATTCGCCTTGCTGTCTGGTGACTGGGGAGTATGGCTGGACGGCTAATATGGAGAGGATAATGAAGGCGCAAGCCTTGAGGGACTCGAGCATGGCAGGCTACATGTCGAGCAAGAAGACGATGGAGATTAATCCGGAGAACTCGATCATGGAGGAGCTGAGGAAGAGAGCTGATGCTGATAAGAATGATAAGTCGGTCAAGGATTTGGTGCTGCTGCTGTTTGAGACTGCTTTGCTCACGTCTGGCTTCAGCTTGGATGAGCCTAGCACGTTTGGGAATAGGATTCATAGGATGCTGAAACTTGGGCTGAGCATTGATGAAGATGCTGAAGAGGGTGATGCGGATATGCCTCCATTGGAGGAGGCTGATGCGGATGCTGAGGGAAGCAAGATGGAGGAGGTTGACTAAGGTTTGACTTTATCTAGTGAGTTTGAAAATCAGGATTTTTATTTTTTTGGGTTAAGAATTATGATTTGAGGTTTTTGTGGTGCATGAGCCCCTTTCGATTGTGGGACAACTCTATATTAGCTATTTCAAGTATTGAACTTATCGCTTTTGTTGCTAGTTAAAACTGTTGCCATGATATGGTTATTTGAAATTTGAGGTTCTGAGGCATGTGTTAAAGGGTCTTATTGATAGCGGTTGATTTGAAATATGATTCATGTGTTTGTTCTGTGGAAATGTTCAGGTAGATTTCAGAACTCTCTTGAAGAAGCGTGCTCTACAGATTACACAGCAAAATTTTTCAGGTGTAAACTTCATGGGTTACATTAAAAAAAAATGCTTCCAGATCTTTTAATGTTATTATAAAAGGAACTTACTGTAATCACAAGCACTGTGAGTGTTAACAAAAACTCAACTGGAGTTCTTGCGTATTTTAGGCTAAATAGAAGAATTTTTGTTATCATACGTGAAGCCGAAAGTTGAGTAGTGAAAACAATATAGGGATAGAAGAAAAAGATGAGTTCAACATAGCTGCCAAGTGATAAGAACAGTTCCATTTTTTATCATCCTTTCCATTTCAGGCCTAGTAGCATGTCATTGAAGCAAAAAAGGGAAAACAGCCAAAATACCAAAACAGAAAAGCTCATATCCCCTGCCTTTATAAACTACCTTACAACCCATTGCAATTTGGCTCGATATACACTAAAAGTAACTTAACCAAACCGACTCAATTTTTCTATGCATTTGGGTTGCCCAGGAACTGAAAAAAATAAAAAATTCCAACTCGGAGAAAAACAATAACTGCAACACATTAATATTGAATTGAAATCGATTCGAGAATTTTACACTAAAATAACAAAATCACACAGAATTGCACAATTTGGCTCTTCTTTTTCGCTCTATTTTGCTCACCTCCAATCCACAGATGAAATCTTCTTTCTCTTGGTGAAAAATTTATCAATATAGTAATCGTAGATCAATTATGTGAGAACTCATAATAAACATCAACCTGCCTTACTACCCTTTAAAAAAAATTATATACTTATGTTATGAATATCATACTTTTGCTTATAATGTTTCTTAGTTTCTTACGAAAATAGAAACAATGCTAACTCGAACTAACTTGTGTTTTTAACAAAATTATTTACTTATGTTATGAATATCATACATTTGCTTATAGTGTTTCTTGCGAAAATAGAAACAATGCTAACTCGAACTAACTTGTGCTAGGTTTATCTTGATAAACTTGTCATCTAGCAGGTGATTATCATATTACAGTTTACTGAAACAATTATTATTATTATTATTATTATTTATCATCTGAATTATGATGACGAGGCACCAAGTCCAACTCAACCCATAAACAATGAGCTAGTCCCCACAGAAAAAAAACAGAGGAAAGAGATAAAAACGGTTTTAAAATCCTCACCTTTGCTATTTCTAGTCACACGAAATGACATTTGCGCGCCCAAAAAGATGAAAAAAGAAGCCAAAAGCCCCTAACAAACCCAGAAAATGTTCGTTTTAGCAAAACTGATCACCAAAATCCAAAGGCCTATAAATACTCCCCTCCCCCAATGCTTTTAAAAAAACACACAAAACTATCACAAACAATTATCAGCCAAAGCCCACAATAACTATTCAAAAAAAAAAAACTCGAAAAACGAAAGATGAGAGGTGGTGTTTTTGCTGTGATCGCCATCCTAGCTGTTTTCTCATTGGTCGTCCAACCGGGCTGGGCCGTGACGTGTGGGCAGGTGGACTCGGCCCTGGCGCCGTGCATTGGTTACCTTATTGGGACTGTGGGCAGCCCATCTCAACCGTGCTGTGCTGGCGTTCGGGCTGTAAAGGCTATGGCCAAAACGACTGCCGACAAGCGGACTAGCTGCAACTGTGTCAAGGCCGCCGCTAGCCGCTACACCAACCTTAAGGACTCGGCTGCCCAGACTTTGCCGACTAAGTGTGGCGTCCAGCTGGATATTGTGGTTTCGCGAACTGTGGACTGTAGCAAGTTAGTGTCGTTCATAATCTGTTCTTCGTTTCTTATTCCTGTTTTTTTTTTGTTGGTGTGTCGACAGTTTTTGATCGTTAAAATTTGCCACATTTTTTNNNNGTGTCGACAGTCTTTGATTGTTAAAATTTGCCACGTTTTTTTGTGACAGGATCAACTGAGTTGGGTGTGTCAACAATTTTTTATTTCTTGAAATTTGCCACGTTTTTGTTAACAGGATCAAATGAGGCGCGGGATAGGGACGAAGAAGCAGAAGGAGCAGCAATAATGGAGTATGGAGATTGAATATTTGAATAGCTATAGAATTTAGTAAAGTGAGTCAAGTAATGAGAAAATAAAGTCCTTGACCGTGGTTTGAGAACTCCATGTACATTCAATAAAAGTTTCATCAAGCTTTCATTGTCTTGAAGCCTTATTTATAAACTTCTGCTTTCACTGTAATGGATTGCATTTTCATCGGCGATGCACTGCCACTAATCATTCTCAAAATTTCACCACAACCTATCAAAGGTTTCATCAGAGCCATTGCAGTATACCAAGATGAGCAATATAGCACATAAAATTCACACAAGATTATGAAACACAGTAAATACCAAAAAATAAAAATAAAAACGAATGATATCCATGAGCCTGTAAAATAGTTAATGTGAACAATGTCAACATTAGCTTCAACCAGATCAAAAGAGGGTCATCTTGTCAGTAAGAAAAAAAAAAAGGAAAAGAATTTACAGAGGATACAATGTTTCTTGGTCTAAATAAAATGTAATTAAACATGCCCTATGGGACAAGAATTGCCCATCTTCAAAAGCAGCTGTCTAAGGCTATGATGATCGAAAAATGACAAGTTAATATCTCCAGCCCGACCCAAAATCTCCTCTTCTCTTTTAACTGTATCTCCTCAACCCATGGGGTGGCGTCTCCTACACGTTTATTCAATTAAAAGTAAGAATTTATGGATAATTACAGAAGCTTATACCTGAGTTTTGCTCTTTCTACAAATCTATTTCATATAAAACAAAAAGGAAGAAAAGCAAAGAAAAAGAAACTCACACATAATTACAAATGGCCAATAAAATTTTGAAATTACAAGCAAGCCCTATAAGTATGAAAGGTACCCCTTGAGTTTCGTAAATTTTTATAAATATGCCCTTGTTGAGTCTGCTATTTACAATAAAGAAACAACTTACAATTTATTCATAGTTTGCAAAGATACCTGCATCTTTCTGTAACTTACTAGTGCGTACTATTAATTAAAAAATTACTTGGTCGAACGACTTGACCACACTTTTCCTCAATTCATTAAGAATAAGAACATTTAAAATAGACAACTGAAGTACACACTTATAATGAAAGAAATATGTAGAAAGTGGAAACAACAGCTGACCACCAGCACCCACACTATAGCAAGTCAAAAATTTTAATAGCAGAAAACGTAAAAGGAGAAATCAAGTGCTACCTCTTGGGTCGAATACTACGGTCTTCCTCAAAGTCCATCACTCCACCGTGCTCGGAAAAAAGTTCCTCAGAGTGCGCTCTGAACTCAGCATCGGCCTGCTAATTTGTAACCTCTGCCACAACGTAAGACACATCGACCAATATATATACCCAAAATATCTATATATTTGTTCATGCGAGACAAAAAAGCCAAAAAAAAAAGTTGCAGGTAATAAAGTCAAACATAAGGAAAAAATCTCACGTATGGATTTAAAAGAGTAAACAACAGTCAACATTTCATGTATCAGGTCGATGATATATCGAACTATTTGGTCGATCGAGAAATTTACTGGAATCAGTTAGGCAAAAAGCAGCAAAATCAACCAGAAAAATTAAAAATGTTAAATATCCACGAAGTATGGCCACTATCATTCAACCAAGAAAACCCTCGACAACAGACAGCATGAACAAATGCAGTGACAAGAAACTGACCTTAAAAGATATTGTTTTCTTCACTTCCTCCACCCTTTCATCGACTTCCTTCCTGTGCTTCTTATCCATCTCATTCATAGTATCTGCCCATTTTATCTTCTCTTGGATTGAACCAAGAAGGCTTTCTGATGTAGATAGCCTAAAATTGTGTAGTCAAAACCAACTATCCATAATTTAGGAAATGTACATGATGCTCAATGAACAAGGAAATATGGAAAGGATAGCCAAAATCAATAGACAACAAAAACATAAAGCGCTCTCAATGTCTTTGTTTTCTCTCTCATTTTTCCCATTAGTTTTCAGGCAAGAAGCTATAATGAATTTGAAACACAATGAACTTGTGGAAATAAAAAATCATTGCCCATTTTTTGTTTGAGTTTTTCATAGAAAGAATGAAGTCCTTAGATATAGGATATTAAAAAAACCTAGGACACAAAGAAGCTAATGGCCAAGTAACACTAAATCAACATGATCCAACTCTATTAGGCAAGAGGGATTAACCAGTTCGCTAGAGTCTGAATCATGCTACCCAAATTTCCAGGCCTAAGATCCCTTCCTGCTGCAAATTGCACCTACAAGTTCACCGACTAACAATTAGATTAGCTACCAGGTAAAGGTATGATGATAAGCAGCTTGGCAGCCAGAAGATGAAAACTAGTGACAATATTAAAAAGCAAGACCTCGAGGCATCTGCGGAATTGATCCAACTTTCCTCTGATTATCCCCTGTCAACCAGATCAGCAATAAAACAAAGAATTAATCGTTATAATGTCTTCATTCTAAGTGCCCCTATAAACTTTACACTTAATAAAACCAATGTTACTAAAGGCGGATGGCAGTAAATGGCGGCAGGCCAAAATCCCGCCACTGTAGCCACCGTGGCGGCCTATGGCGCCGCCATAACCGCCATCATTCACAAATTTAGCATGACTGTTTGTCAAAAATCCACCACACATACCGCCATGGCCACCATTTGATAACACTGAATAAAATAGGCCATTATTCAATGGGAACAAAAAAAAATCAGAAAAAACAGAAGAACGGGCAAACCCATTGAAAACTACTTCCCTACAGTGCAAGTTCATGAAAGGGAAAATGACACTAGGATTTATTTAAATGGGTGGTAACCAAAAGCGTAAACTTACCACATACATGCAGTCATTAATCAGAAAATCTTCCAACTCACGTACATTAGTGACATCCAACTCCTTCATCAATGTATCATATGGCAATACCTGGGTAGAGGTCAATAAAAATGCTTAAGAGTGTCAAGACATCCACAAATCTTCTGACGAGAAATGGAAAAGAGACAAAAATAAAGTTCTATAAACTCGTATGCAACAATTTGATTAAAAATTAGATCAGAAAAAGAAATACAGAACCAATAAAAACAAATATACTGACCAGGTCCAATGGTAAAACACTGATGTCTTAAATATTAAAACTCAGGTAAAAACCAAAAAGTTAGAGCTCTACGCGTTCTAAGGACATTTTACAAAAAATGTAACCAACAACAAGCACAGAAGAGGCACGTTAGGACCAGAAATTGCCAGTAACAAAAAGACCACTTACGCTACTCCTGTCCAACATAAGTAACACTACCTTGTTGCAGTTTCCAGTTTATTTTTACGGAAAAAACATTGACCGTATGTATGTGCTCTATGATTATGCATATGTATATATACATCTAGAGAGAGAAAGAGAGTTGGGTAAAAATGTGAAACAAGCATCTAACTCATTCAAGTCAACTTATAAAGGTACATAGAAAACTACCTTGGTTGTCTCAGCCAGAGTGAGCACAGTCAGCTGCTTCAACTTGAGAACTTGATCAGGAACCAATTGTGGAAGATGACTGGCAACACCTGCATAGTATAGATTATCATGTTACTTCACTCATAAATTGAAAATAACGCAGTTCATAAAGGGGGCACTCCACATTATATCCTATACACACTGGATCTCAAATTATTTACTACATGGCATTAAATTTTCACCCAAACCAATGGTCTATGTTTATATATGTTCCTAGAGATGTACACTCGAGAGTAAATCTGTTGTGCACATTAACCTAAACAAGGAGGAAGAGGAACCAACGGCCGTTACTACATAACCGATAATTCAATGTCACATTTAATTTTACGGCCCTCACCTAACCATAATTCAATCTCCAGGAGATTTGTTTAAAATTCCAAGTCAATAGAATACACATAAAAGATAGGCATATGAACTTTCTTGAGGAGGTATGGCTCCCTGGTTCCAGAAATAGAACAAAGGTCAGTGGTACAAACTAGCACCCCGTACCAATGAAATGGATAGAAGAATACTATTTATTATCATTATATATCTCTGTTTTGAATGAAATCCATGACAAGCTCACTGATTATTGAATATGCAAATTCAATCAAAATTTATGACTAGTTGTATGGTTAATATGACTGGTATTTTCCACGCTAAACTATAATTAAACAAACTAGAGCGGAAGTTCATGCTAAAGTAACAATCAACAAAGGTGAATAAATAATAAAGAATGAAGCAGGAAAAATAAAAATGAACAAATGAAGACTAACATAACATGGATCAAACATCAGTGAGTTGACTGAATGCTTACTCTTGTATTCACTCCATGTTCCATGTGCGAATATGCGAAGCAACTCAAGTAATACACTGTTCTCAGTTCCTTCAAGCTGCAAACAAATCCAAACATCCAGACAATAAGAAAAATGGTTTCAAGCAAATATCTCAAGTTAATTCGAGCTCACGCATAAACAAGACTAAAAAAACATTACAGCCCAAACCCTTCAAACCCACTAAGACGAGAGATCACTTCTCCACACAAAAAAAAAAAAAAAAAGCATAACCTAATACAACAGGAACACGTACAACATACCTCGAGCACGTTAGGAACGGAGAGAATCTCAGAGAAAGCGAATAGGTAAGGATGGGAAGTGGCCTCAACGACGACATTTGACAGAGCTGAGCCCTTTAGATCCGACGCCTGCTTCACAAAGTAGTCTATGTGCTCCGCTTGCTTTTGCTCAATGTCCATGCTTCAGAATTCCAAATTTTTTCAACTGATTCACGAAAATAACAATGGGAAGAGTGAAAATATAGGATTATAGTGCAAAGGTTTTAGAGATTGCGTTTAGGGCTTATGAATCGCGAAGGGTCCAGCTATTTGGGACAAATATGAACAGAACACTGCTGTTTTGGTCGTGCTGCGTGGCACTGTGGCAGTGCAGTGATAGGAAGATTTCTTCGCGAAGGGGACTCGTACTTTCGGTAAAATGCTTTTTGGCCCCCCTAACTAAATAAGTTTCATGTTACTACCCGAAAGAATTGTAAGCTTTGTGCTTATAAAAAAATTATAACAATTTAAAAAATATTAAAGTGAGAAAGTTTTTGTTTATGTTTCAAACAAATTTTAAAAAATTATAGTATTATTTATATTTAAATAATACTGATCACTTGATATTATTGTAATCATTTTATAATCATTTTATTTATATAATAAATTTTTTTAAGTCATATTATATAATGAACTTAATAGATAAATTTATTTAATTGGTTATAATTTATTATTTTTTAATTTATACTGAGATATAAATATAATTATATATTTCTTTATATATGCAATATGGATGACAAATCAAAGTACATTAAGAGACAGTTAATATTTTTTATTATATATGAAAAATATGATAACATGTACAAATTTTATTATATTTTTAAATATATTTATAATTTAATTTTCAAGTGTTTATAATTTTAAAAGTTCTATTAGGTATGAATAGAAGTCCAAAATCTATGTAGACTACTCCAAAACAAACAAATAAAAGCATCAGAGCCAACATATAGAAATACGAAAGCTCCAAAAATTGATACATAGCTTTGAAAATTTTTTGTGTTATATATACATAAAAATTTGGCAAGAATTGGAACCACTTTGATCTGTTTCATTCTAAAACTAGTTGGTCGTATTAAACCACCCCATCTTAGGTAAGGTTCTTCACCTTCATATCCCATCTAGAATATGTGCTTATCTTTACATTTACACATATCTATGTCATTCACTATAGTTGTGTTTTCTCTTATATAGATTCACCATGAGTCTCTCCACCAGTAGACACGAGTAGTCTCCCACAACTAACTTGACCACCACTACAACTTGCACGCACAATTTGAGACTCTCCATGAGAAGGTGTATAACCATGCCCAATATCGCCACCACCAATGAAAAAAAAAATGGACAACAAAGTAGAAAAAGGCGAGAGTTTGGTCTTACCCAATTGAAGTAGGTCACTGGACATCCCTCTATTGAACCCATAGCAAAACGTAAGGTGAGGATAGCATGAAATATTAAGCATGTGTGGCTCTCGAAGTCGAAATTACCTAACCAACTTGTTTCATTTTAATCCTATTCTTTTTATTCTCTTAAACTCAGAGGTTTGAACAATATCACCCGATTAATAAAAGTTTAATTTCAGCCAATAATACAATTATCTCTTATTAAATTCACAAATGAACCAATCAAATATTAAAATTGTTTCTCTTGACTTAATAATAGCTCGATAAAACTCGTCTATCAAAATAGCTGAAACAAACTGAAAATGATGTATAAACAACTTATTTTAACATATACACACTCTTATCACCAAATATCTCCGCTCAAAATGAATATTTTTTGTTAACCATAGTTAATTGTAGAAAATGTGGTATGATTAGTTGTTAGTGTGATTTTAATTTTATATTAAAATAATATTTAAAATAAAATATTTAAAGTTGAGTTGATGTAAAAATATAAGATATGATATGAATTGATAGTTAAAATTATGTGAATGAATGAATAGTAAATTAAAATTGATGTGATGTGGAAGAATGATTGGTTGTATATTGATAATATTGAGGATAATAGAGTTGAGTTAAAGTTGTGTTAGATTTTGAATATGAATTGAGTTTTTTTAATATACAAACACACCCTGAAGCAGCTCATTACCAATTTTCTTTTTATTGGCCACCTAAAGACCAAGATCGAATAATTTTAGAACATATGGACTAAATTAGAAATTTAAGAAAATGCAGGGCCAATGTTGACACCTCTATAGTTACATGACCCATTTTTGCAAAACTGCCTGCAAAATGCCACATCGCCTGAGCTGCTGCGTTTGAGCTTCTCCAAATCGTTTGCGACGCCAAGGGCAGCCACTTCTAGCCGGGAACGACGTCGCACCGCTAGCAGTAAGCTTTCATTTTAATTCAGAATACGTCGCACTGCTAGCAGTAAGCTTTCAGTTTAATTCATTCTGCAAGTATTCAGTGTTTCAAGTGCTAGTCTCGTTTTCATGCGGTTGAATTGAACTTTCCTCAAAAAATTGAGCTGATTGTTGTCGTTACAAGGTTAGAAGCTTGAGATGATGCAGCATGCAAACCCTAGATCTTTGTGTTGACAAGCTGCAGAAATTATGTTAATGTTAAAGAATGTAGATGTATATCAGTCGCAGGTACTGATTGAGCCTTATGGGACTGTTCACAAATTTTGAAAGAGAAAAAATAAAAAAAAACTGATTCGCAGCTTCCATTCGAAAAAAATGTGAATTTTTCGGGCGGCTATAATTCGAGAATCACTATCTGTATGAATCGAGAGTGAATTGTTTAATGTGCTGGAAGTGGTATATTTGTGTTTAATTTGGACCTTAAAGTGATGATGTATGTTGAGTGTGCTAGTTCATGTTGATTACCATTATGTGGTTTTCTCAAAAGATCAATTGTGTTCACGACCTTGTTTCCCATTTGAATTCCGTGACTTATGGTTGTACCAAGTCTGAACTCTTATTGATCCTCTTCAGTCTCTAATCGGATTAAAATGTCTTGTCATGGTGAATTGTGTGTTATTGAAAACTGCATTAGGTGAGGGGCATGTTGGTGAGATTGATCACATAAAAACTTGGGTATTACTTCACTGACCAGAATTAGAAGAAACTAAAGGATGACTAAAGCTTCTGGTGATGCAATTTCCTCTGTTATGTACAACATGCTTCTCACTCTCAATTTCACTGAGTTCATTAGTGCTGTATAGAATGTAGTGTGAATAGGATATATACATATATTATACATATATTTAGAAATTAGTTAACGGGGTTTTGATTTCTGGCCAACAGGGGCGTGGCCGGGCTAAGGGGATGAGAGCCAGCTCAAACTTTAATTTATTGTTCATAACCCAAGTCGTTTTAACCTAAGATAGCCCAATTGTTTTACCCTAGTCATGCCGCCTGAATTGTTTTACCTCTAGTCATTTCTGTATATATTTTTTTAATCAAATACAAATAAATTGGATTTTTCTTGTGGTAGTTTCTAAAAAAATAGGATGAGCCTTGGACTAGTGGCTCCCCCTTGCTACTCCCGTCTTCAGACTTGTTATAATGAGACTTAAAGAATCACTTGTGCAGTGTTGTGGATTCAGTGTTCGACTTGCGTGGAAATGATTGGTGAAGAACATTGCAGGTGATTCCATGCATTAACTAAACAAAAAATATTGTTGGATTGCACTATTGTTTGCCCCAAGTCCTTGTGGATCTGAAGATTGTTTATCATGATTTCCTCAACTTTTAGCTCCCCCTTTTGCCTGTTGATTGTGAATCTTGTTTGAGTACTTCTAATAGTATCTTATGATGGTGTATCATATGAGTCCCTTTTGAGGCTGGTGGCCGAGGCAAACAGAGAAGTGAATTTTATAACATGAAAGATTCTGGCATAGTTGATACTGAAGCTGACTGTTACTGTCCTTGAAAACTATACAGCATACTGTAAATTCAAATTGATTATTGGAATTTAGAACTAAGGTCTGATGTTCGTGATCCCTTGCAATTTGGTGAATGAATGTGGAAGGAGATACTAGAATGGCTTATTTAATGGAGATTTCAGTTGTATGCATGCTATAATGTTTTCTGTTGCAGGTATATAAGAGCCATAACCATCATTCCTTTTTGTTTCTCGAAAAATAAATACTTTTACAATTGTCGAGATGATGTTCTTGGCCAATGAAGTCTTCACCTTTCCTAAAGGTAAGAGATTGGGGGAACAAATTGATTCTTCTGCACTTGTAGAATATAGCAGTATAATCAACTACTTTTGGCTGGGACCCAATTCTAGAACTTATTCTTGGTTACCTTATCTTTCCCTTTTGATATTTCTCCAACCGTGGACTTATATTTTGAAATTTCCGTTCATATGAAGATTTCAAAAGTGTTCATTGACATGCCAACTGCTGCTTGGTTACAAGGTTCTCTCAGTATCCTTAATGGCTACTCTTCTTTTTCTTTCTTTCTTATTGATATGTGTTTTAGGATGTTCATTGCATGAGAACTATTAGCCAACATTTGATTATTTTCGATTAGATGTGTTTTTTACATATTTAATCCTAATTTCCTTACTTTGCATGAACACTGACCATGTCTACCCATCTAAGTAGTATGTTGTGACTCGTACTGCGATTAATTTGGCTTTTCGGCCCGCGCGACTGCATCGGATTACAAATGAGCCGAATCGCCTTATCGAGCATGATTGATTTTTTTTTTAGCTACTCGAGCTCGACTCGATAAACAAGTACAATCGCTCGAGCTCGACTCGAAATCAAAAAGCTCGAGCTCGGCTCGAAAATTTATAAGTGGAAAACTAAAATTGCCATTAAACACTTGCGCTATACTATTGTAATATATAAGGGGTATTTTAGTAATTCAACATATATTTCGAGCCGCTTGACAATGCAAAATATGGGCTCGAATTTGGTCAAATTCAAGCTCGAGTCGAGCTTTGACTCAAGCGCTCGCGAGCTGTTCGGTTCTTTTGCAGCCCCACTCATGATCAAAAGTCTATATTTTATTTGATTTTTCGAGCATCCCCTTTTTAAATTTGACATGAGATAAAGCGAGTGTCTCGTGCGCGCCAACAGTCTTGGTAAGCATCTAAATTGGCTCTATTTGAGAAGATCCCTTCTCCCTTTTGCTAGAAGTTTGGCCACGAAAACGTGGTAGGGACCTCCCTAGAGCAAAAATACACACGCACAAAGGGGGGGAAAAAAAAAAGTAAAGAAGAAAAAGTGTGTCTTGCAAAATACCTTCGTAAATGGCATTTTCTCGTTTTTCACTCTTTCCTTTTTCCTTTTGCTATGGTTCCTTTTGATTTCATATATGTTGTACTCAATTGGATTTTCATTTGATTGGTAGATGGGAAGTATTTATTGTGCCATCATGACCCACATGTGTGTGCTCCATCTCTCAATTTCCATCTCCATATAGGGGCG